AGGTTGCATGGATCTTCGCCATGAAGTCCAACATATAAAATATTTTCTTAAGAGAAAACAATGATCTTCACAATGAAATCTAACATATAAAATGTTGCCTTAAAAGGCGACAAGGATCTCGCCATGAAGTTCAACACACAAAACATTACCTTATAAGGCATAAGGATATTCACCATAAAGTCTAACATATAAAATATTGCCTTAAGATGCGATAATGATCTGGGCCATGAAGTCCATCATACAATATATTGCCTTAAGAGGCGGGAAGGATCTTCGCCATGAAGTCCATCATACAAAATATTTCCTTAAGAGTCGGCAAGGATCTTTACCTTGAAGTCCAACATACAAAATATTTCCATAAGAGGCAGCAAACATCTTTACCATGAAGTCCAACATATAAAATATTTCCTTAAGAGGCAACAAGGAATTTTGCCATGAAGTCCAACATAAAAAATATTTCCTTAAGAGGTGGCATTGATCTTTGCCATGAAGTCCAACATATAAAATATTGCCTCACAAAACACTTCCTTAACAGGCGACAAGGATCTTACTTAGGGATCCAATATTTTGATTTCCTCTAAGGATGCTAAGGATCCTACACAGGAATCCAGAATTCTGATTTCCTCTAAGGGTGGCAAGGATCCCACTCAATAATCCAACATTTCGATCGCCTATAAGGGTGACAATGACCCCTCTTAGAGATCCAACATTTTGATCGCCTCTAAGGGCGACAAGGATCCCTCTTTTCTACCATATCTAAGGGAGGCAAGAATCCCACTTAGGGATCTGGAATTTTGATAGCCTTTAAGAGCGGCAAAGATCCCTCTTAAGGATCCAACATTTTGATCGCCTCTAAGAGCGACAAGGATCCCACTTAGGGATCCCTATTTTTTATCTCCTATAAGGTGGCAGGGATCCCACTTAGGGATCAAACTTTTTTTCGCCTCTAAGGGTGGCAAAGATCCTTCTTAGGGATCAATTTTTTGAATTTTGATGGCCTCTAAGGGAGGTCATTTCTAAAACTTTGAGGTTTCATGCAAAAGGGAATGAACTAAACATGTAGATTCTCCCAAATAATAAAATAGGGGGCATTATTAAACCCCCATACAAGGTGCATAGAGAAAATAATGCACCCAAAAAATAACATGTCCTTATAGATGGAATATACATAATACTCGCATAATTCAAAACAACAAAGTAACTAAATAAAAACAATGAAAGTAAATAAATGATAGTGGAGAAAATGGCATCAGGGGGCATTCCTTCTAGGCTTTTAATCCTCGATCTCCTCACTGGCTGGAGGGGGAGCCTCTTTGCCTTTGCAAGCTTCTCTTGGAAGTTTATTCTCGAGCCTTCCTTACTAGTGTTCGCGCCTAGAGTGCAGATCTTTTTTTTTTTTTTTAACTTAAGGCTATCTATGCATCAATTCATGAAAATTTCTTGATCTCTTTGGGTAACTCCTACATGCCCATCAGAGAGCGGGTACTTCATGCACATGGAGAAAGCGGCACCCAACTAATTAAAATATGACCAACATATAGTAATATTGTAAGAAGAGAGTGCATCAATAACCAAGTACCCGACCTTAATTTCTTTGGCTTGTTCATGCTCTCCAAAGATTGTCTTTAGCGTGATATAACCTTTCACTTACACATGCTCCCCGTAGAATCCAACTAGAGATTCCTTGAAGGGCTTTAGGTCTTCTGGGCCGAGGCGTAGTCTCTTGAATACGCCCTAATATAGGATATTTACAAAACTTCCTTGATTTATGAGAACTCTTTTGATCTCCCACTCATCCCATCTGACAATAATGACCACGGGGTCATCATTTCGAGGGAAGACGTCAGATGTGTCCTTTTTAGAGAAGGTGATTTTGGCTTCTGGCGTCTTTGTCTCGCCTTTACCTTCATTGTTAAGGAGGTATTCTACATTCATAAATTGGCGAGCGTATCTTCTGCGAGGAAAGCTAGTCTTTCTGCCTCCGACGAATCCTCTTGCATTAATGTTAAACATGTGAGGTACAAATTTTTTATCCTTTCTTGTGGGCGTTTCCTTTGCCTTATTGGGCCTGGGGCTCGCCGCGTCATCTCACTTGTAGGAGCTAGATTTTTGAGGTCCACGAGAATTCCCTTAACACATTTCTTAATGTGTCTCTCATGGAGCATCCTCTCGATTTATTTCTTGAGTTGGTAACAGTCTTTAGTATGATTCTCTTTAACTCTTTGAAATTTGCACCATCTACCCGGTTCAGGGTCCAACCGCGTCAATTTTAAGAGCTAAAGACATATGGATGTTGTGTAGGTGAATGACTTAATGCCAGATATGTTCACAATGAGTGTTAGAGGCGTGAAGCTTCCCACCGCCTTGCGCACTCTTTGTCCTTGATGGGAGAGGTGTAACTGCTCTTCCTGTTGTGTTACGAATCTTTGGCGTTAAACACCCATTTTTTAACGTCTCACACCTTCTTTTTAGTGTTTCTCTCACCTGTCTTTTATGAAACTTTTTGCTCTAGTGACCAATCTTGCTAGCGAAAGCGCTGGCTTCTGGGTGATAAACTTTTGAAGTGTCTCTCCTTAAGACCATTCTAGAATGCACCAATGAACATTTCTTGGTTTGGGGGGGGGGGGGGGCGACCATTATGGTAGCTTAATTAAACCGGACGAGGTAGTCCCTCATCAATTATAAGGGACCATGTCTTATGTTGAACAAGCTAGTGGTAGACATATTCTTGTGACGACTAGTGACAAACTAGTGTACGCATTTTTTCACCAATTGTTGATGGAAGTTTGGGGTAAAACCATATACCATCGCAAGGCGGCGTCCTTGAAGGTGTCAGACAATAACTTGTACTTCAGGGAGTCAGGCACTCTGATGATGGTCATCTGAGTGTTGATGGAGGTGACGTGCTTATAAGGGTTACTACGCTCATCAAACTGGCCAAAAAGGGAAGGTTGAATCCTTTAGAGCATACATTTCCCATATTTTGTCAGAGAGTGGCTAAGGATCCAACACTTCCAGCTCCTCTAGGGGATCATTCTTTTGCTAGCGTTGTCGGATACTAAGGACATTGTCCTCTAAGATTTGATTCTGACGGCGTAGTTCATGCATGGCAACATGCATCTCCTCCATGCCATTGGCATAACAGTTTCCCCTGGTATCTTATGGTATAGGATAAGGTGCTCTCCTATTAATCATAGATGATAATATCTAAGTACATGAGCGGGGGTGACAATGAATATGACGATTGTAGAAGAAAGTTTGACCTAGGTTAGTTTTATCGGGGCCCCACAGTGGGCGCCACTATATTGGTCAAAGTTCATGTGTTCATGGTATCCCTGCCAGGGTATAGGATACTCAGAGGCCTTAGTAAGTTTATAATAGTTAGGGATTGCTCACGACAACGAGAGGTCCTATATAGTGGTATCTAGGGCGTTTATGGTGGTATTAAAGGCCAACTCACGTAAGGTGAAATATTTTATTTATTATGTGATATGTCGTTAAGTTAAGATTTGTCGTTCTCCTGTTATAGGAAGTATTTATAGAGGTCCCTGGGTCTAAGTTTTTCTTGAGAATGATAATGGTCCACTAAGTTAAAGTAATGGACCGTTGAATTCCTACTTTTCAAGAAGACATGAATCAACTATTGACTCTGACTTCCCTTTGCTAAAAAAACGTGTTACTCCACATTTCCCTTAATTGAGCGAGTGATAAATATTTTAGGACAAGACGATTCTCCCTAAGAGCGATATATAGTCCTTACCCCCTTTAGGATCTACACTTCTCCCATCACTATTATACTTTATATATATATATATATATATATATATATATATATATATATATATATATATATATATATATATATATATATATATATATATATATATATATATATATATATATATATATATATATATATATATATATATATATATATATATATATATATATATATATATATAATATGAAGTTATATATATTGAATATAAAAATAAACTTTTATTAAAATAATAAGATATAAAAAAAAACAAGTCAAGTTAAAAGCTATAAAAGTGAGTTGAAAAGATAGAAACTAAAAACAATAACTTTAAAAGCTCTTTTTTTTTTCCTTGCCATACACACTCTCAATAATTTTATTTTTTTAATATACAATTAATTTATTTTAAGCCACATATTAGTATTTTTCAAAAAAAAAATTGTACACAATCTTAACCAATTATTATTAATTTAATTTTTTTTTTAAACAACTGTTATTGGAGAGAGTAATTGGCCGTTGTGTTGCAATTTGCAAAAGACAAAGGGAACACACTCCATGATTAAACAAACATGGCAGCAAAGCACTACAGTAGAGTAACGTCACGCGCCAATGGAGAAGCGTGGTCATACTAGTTTCTCCATTCTAACAGATAAGCACTTCCAGATCAGCGCCATCACACACACGCACTCTTTTGTTCTTAGAAAATAATTAGAGCTCACAGAAAGAGAAAAACCGTGTCTCTCAGAATAGAATCTTTTTCACTGCACCCTCTCTCTCTCTCTCTCTCCCCTCTCTTTTCTTCACCTTTTTCTTAAGGTCAGAGTTTTCAGCAATTCAATGTCTATGTGACTACGTTCTCACCATTGATTTCACTTCCAAATCTTAACCGTTAAGTTTATTTACATGCTCCACAAACTTTTTCTTTCTTTCTATTCTCAGCATTATCCCTCTCTCAATCTTCTTCACTTTTCTAAAGTAAGTTCATCTTTTTTCAGATTTCATTTCTCTTGTATTTTTTTTTATGATACTCGACTTTAGTGTAGTTTAGTATGCATTTTTCTGTGCTTTTATAGAATAATAATAAACTTATTTTGTTTTAATTTTTTTTTCTTTTTTTTTTTCTTTTTTACTTTTGACTTGCTTGATTATCTTAAATGTCTAGCAATTTTGTTTTGGTTGATTGAATTTTCAGAAAATTGTTTTTTTTTTTTTCGGTTGAAGATTGAAGTTGATTTGGGGATCAATGAGTGATATGATGAGATCTACTTCACAGTTCAAGAGAATGAGATTGAAATTCCATTTACAAATTCTATTTGGATTGATGTTGATCTTTAGTGTGCAGTTTTCACTTGCAGCTACAAATCCCGCTGATGGTACTTTTTCTCCTCTTTTCATGCTTTCTTAATTTTGTATATCTACAGTAATATTTTGGGTTCATAATCTAGCATTCTAGCTATTTGAATTGGCTTCTAACTTGGAGCTTCTCAATCATGTTAGGTTTATAATTTATTATATACTAGTTCCTTATATTATAAGTTTATAGGTGTTTATGGAGAAGTTAAATGAGAAAGCTTCTGAACTAAAGAGAGTTAAGAGGATTATTTCAATTTATGCGTAAAACTGTTGTTTAAAAACTCATAAATATAACAACATTACTTTTTGTATGTATTTGTGAAGAAGTTTATGTAGACAGTATGTATCCTGCTCCTGCCTTTGGACCAATGTGCGCTGAGGCTACTGAATTGTGTTGCTGTGTTTTGAATTGCCACTTGCAACAAATTATTGATTATTTTCATCTAGCTGCGGTTTATTATAATACGACGATTCTAAAATTTTGTATTTGTATCAGTCGCTGCAATTAATAGATTATATGCTGCATTGGGAAACCCTGTACTTTCTGGGTGGGTTTCTAGTGCGGGAGACCCGTGCGGAGAAGCATGGCAAGGCGTTCAATGTAACGATACACTCATACAAGAAATGTATGTTGTCACTTTTTCTTGCTTAATAATATCAATTATTTCTTACAAAATAAAGGACCGTTAGCACACTTTTCATTTAATGTTTAACAGAACTTTGGTTGGTGCAAATTTGGGAGGAGAGCTTGGTGATAGCTTAGGAACGTTTGTTTCCATCAAATCAATGTAAATGAAACTCTCTCTTCTCTATTTTTGCTGCTTGCAATCTATGCATATATTTGGTTATGATATGTCAAATTGATTTTGAATGAATTAATTTTGTAAAATTGATTCCGACTTAAAGATAGTTGAATGTAAAGTGACTTATGTTGGGATAGATTCATGTAAATGTGAGTTTTACATAAAATTTGAGAGTAAAAGCCAATTGTAGAAACAAAAGCTCCAAATTCTAGTTTCAAGTTAGAATCAACTCTAGAGACAAAATCGATTCAGCTATAGTACATTGAAACATGTCAAAATCAGTTCTAGACCACTGGAATCAATTTTACCTCATCCTAAAGTGGAACCAAACCTACACCATTTGTGTCCATGAGTCTCATTGACCATCCTTCTTATATTTGCTTTATGCTTCATGTTTTTTCGGGGCAGAACTCTAAGCAACAACCACATTGGAGGAAGTATTCCATCAAGTTTGCCAGTCACCTTGCAAAACTTGTATGTGTTACCTACCTGTGTAATACTATCTCTCATTCTCCTCCAAAACATTATGCAAAATGACTAGATGGTTTGTACTTTCACAGTTTTCTTTCGGGTAACCAGTTCAATGGAAGTATTCCAGTCTCTTTATCGACATTGACAGAACTTACTGACATGTGAGTTTGCTGCTTCTATGTATTTTTATATTAAATTCTAATAGTAGCTAATGTTAACTGTGATGCATGTATGTAAATGAGATTGAGTTACCTCCTTTCAGGTCTCTAAATGATAATTTGCTGACTGGAGAAATACCAGACGCCTTTCAGTCTCTTACGCGATTGATCAATCTGTAATGCCTTATTTCATTTAATCTTTTACACACACATTGTTGAGTGAATCTCTTTTAGCTTCATTGTATACAAATTATTTAACGATCCACAAACTGACATGCAGAGATTTATCTAATAATAATTTGAGTGGGGAATTGCCTCCATCTGTAGAGAGTTTGTCAGCTGTGACGACCTTGTGAGTACTTTTTCTTGATAAGGTGATTTGTATATTTGTTATCTGCCAATCAATCTAACCTTTTCCTTCCTTGTTGGCAGAAATTTACAGAACAATAGCCTGTCTGGGACACTCGATGTTTTACAAGACCTTCCACTGACAGAATTGTACTTATCTTGACCGTGTTTCGTATAATTTTTGCATGACATTAGCTTGGTTAAAATAAACAACTAGACTCTGTAGTTTCATCTGATTTTAATTTCGGTTCCCATAGTTATTTTTGTAGATACCAGTCCATATTAATTTACTCATTTGGATTTGGTCCCTGAGGGACAAGGCTTTAATAATTAGAAACTGTAATATAAATGCCTCATAACAAATAGAGACCACTAATGTATAGGCCAATTCCACAAGAACAAAACTATAATAATACCATGCTCGCACTACTAGGCGGGGTCTGTTACATGAATCAGTTGATGCCATAAAATTGATTTGCCTTTTAGTCTTTCTTACTCTCCTTGTGTTTTTAACTATTGGACTATATTCTTCATGTGGTCTACTCTTTTTACCGGGAATTTTATACGTCTTCTCCATACATGTCCAAACCACCTAACATGCGGTTCTACCATTTTCTCTACCATAGTGGCTACTCTAATTTTCTCTAATAATTGTATTTTTTATTCTTTCTTTTCTCAGCGTAAAATTTTCATTTCTGAGACAATTTGTATACTTTTTTGTTGGATTTTTATTATCCATAAAACATTGTAGGGCTTATAGCTATAGAGATTAGAGACCAATACCATAAAAAAGTAATTGGGACCAAAATTTTATTTCAACTGATGGGTTTAGTATTTATTTTAGCCTATTTGTTTAGACAATTGTTTTTTTGTTACTATTCTACTAATGGATTTTAGAGGCTTTTGGAACTTGAATGAATATTAGGATTTGATACAATTTTTAAGTTTTTTTTTTAATTATAGTGATTCTCTTTTTAATACCTGCTTATTCTATCTTATTTGAACAGGAATGTCGAGAATAATCAGTTTTCTGGAACAATACCTCCAAAGTTGTTAAGCATCCCTAACTTTAGGTGAGAATCTTAAAACATAAACTATTTGCTTCCTTATCATATGAGATGATTTCCTGAGTCAGAAGATTTTGAAGATGTAATTGGAACTTGGTTTTCTGGACTATTTCCATGAAAATATCTGTAAAGCTGTTAATTCCAATGATGTGCAGTTTTGCAATTAGGGAAAATATATTGACATTAGGCTTTTTTTTTTCTGCATAATTTCTGTAGCACTGCAAATCACAAAAGCAACCAATTGTATGCTGCATCCATTCATACATGTAATTTAAGGTTACATAACTCTCAAAGGTTTAAGAGGTACATGACTTGAGATGTTCTATAGTCAGTGTGCATTTGACGAGGTTTATATTTTTAAAAATTTTTTTGGCTTTATTTTTGCTCCAGAAAAATTTTCAGTCAATGAAATTTTTGAACAATGTGATTAAGGAGCTATGTATGATTGAAAATATGATGTATAATGATTGTGCTTGAAATTTGTGTTTCTTGCCCTGTTAAATCAAATGTTGCTTTTCCTTTGAAATTTAAATGGATGGGAAAGGAAAAAAAAAAAGGATAATAGTAAAACGTTAAGCTTCACTTAAGCACGTGGCCACAAGAACATACATTGCTATATTAAAGCCGAAACCATAAAACTACAACAGTTTACCGTCATCATTATTTTTGAAGTTTTCTTGTATATCTAGAAAAATGTAGTGTTTATTCCTGTATCAGTTTCCACTCTTTTCTGTTAGCTTTTTTGTATCATATTAGAAATTTGAGTGACATATATCAATATTTATCTATAATTTTGGTGCTTCAATAAGACAATAACTCATTGTGATATTTATATGCAGTAAAGATGGAAACCTATTTAACCTTGATGGTAATGCTACTATAGCACCAGCTCGTCCACCTCATTCTCCAATAACAGCTTCACCATCAGGAACTGTGGTTCCGGTTCCTGGGACACCATTTTCTGGACGGATACCTCCTAAACATGCCAATGGACCAACTTCATCAAAGAAATCAAGTTCCGAGAAATCGAAAACAAACACTAAAAGAGTGGTTTGGATTACTATTTCATGTGTATTGGGGTTTATCATCTTGGCACTGGCACTCGTTCTCTTTCTTCCAAGATGTAGCAAAAGGGAACGCGTTGATAGAACCTCCAAGCAACATCTGGTTGGAGCATATGGAGGCGAAAGAGCAAATCCATGGAATAATGGGGCTCTAGTCCAACCACCTAGTCAAACTGAGAAAGGCAAATATACATATGTTTTGTTTGTGTTCCATAAATCATTTTCTGACATCTAGTTTCCCTTGTAAGGATTTTACCACTTCAATCATTTAATTTTAAATAAATTTTAATTTTTGACAGTACTGAAAGGGGCTGTTGTAAGGCCAAAAGAGAATCGGCAAGCAGAGAAAGATGAACAAAGAATGGAAACAATTCCAAAGCTATTGAGTCATGAGATTGATATGAGTGCACTAGATATAGATTCAATGCCACCTTCACCCCCACCCCCACCCCCACCTCCTCCTCCACCTCCTGCACCACCACTTTCCGTAGAGAAGGTGGTTGTTGAGCCGACCACACTCCCTGGAGGGTCTAACATCAATCCTTCCAAAAGAAGTCCAGTTACTCCCACCTTTGCAAAATCTTTCACCGTTGCATCCCTTCAACAGTATACAAATAGCTTTTCTCAAGACAATCTTATAGGATTAGGCATGTTGGGGAGTGTATACAGGGCAGAGCTTCCTAATGGGAAGGTAAGATTGTTTCTTATCAGTTGTGCTTGTTTTCTATAAGTAGAAAATATATTTGATATACATCAAAGTTATGAATTGTGTACAAGCACTAAACTGTTAGTTTTCTGTCTATTTCTGCTTTTAATATTTTGCCAAAACATTTCCTGATCCTGGATGACATCTTAATGAGATAAAGGAATATATATCGTTGCGTCATATGTTTAACAACTGATATTTTCAATCACATCTTGATTCAAATTTCCCTATTTCTCTTTCCCTTGGTCAGAAAGTCTTGTAAATTATATACATACCAGGATTGATTCAAATCTTAACATTTACTCTCTATGAATTTTTAGATACTTGCTGTGAAAAAACTAGACAAAAGAGTTTCAGATCACCAAGAAGATGATGAGTTTCTTGAATTGGTAAACAATATCGACAGAATTCGGCATGCAAATGCTGTTGAGCTTATTGGGTACTGTGTAGAGCATGGACAGAGGCTTCTGATCTATGAATACTGCAGTAATGGGTCGATGTATGAAGCACTTCATTCAGATGATGATTTCAAAACAAGGCTGTCTTGGAATGCTCGTATTCGGATAGCACTTGGAGCAGCCCGAGCCTTAGAGTAAGTCCAAGTAACTATTGGCACTAAGAAAAAAAAATTTCCCTTAGGCTGTTGATCTGCAGCTTATAGTGAGTGCAATTATTTTCATTTTCAAATGTAGTTTATCCCGCCTTCCTGAATTATGGAGTATGCCTTGGATTAGTTTTGGGCCGGAAGTTTTTTTTGTTTAAGTCTTGGGATTAATAAGCATTTGTGCAAATTTGATTGTTAACATGATATAATATTTACTAATAATGCATCTTTATGTGAAACTTAGAGTTTAATACTTGGTTTATCTCCGACAAGGTACTTGCATGAGCAATGTCAGCCACCTGTTATACACAGAAATTTCAAGTCTGCCAACATTCTCCTTGATGAGGATCTATCTGTCCGTGTATCTGACTGTGGTTTGGCTCCATTAATAACTAAAGGTGCTGTACGTCAGGTAAGAGAGCATGGGATTTTACAAAACAATGTTTGGAAACTGTACAATTTGTTTCGAACTGAATAGCACAGATCTTTTAGTTAATGAATAAGAGGTCCTTATCGCGCTTTCTTAACTTCATTTTTCCATTTGGTATTTCAATTATCTAGAATAAGTCTGTAAGTGAGCTCTAATTGATGAAAAGGGTAAACTGAACATTTACTTTCTTGAAACAGTATATTTATTGAGTTTCTTAATTCTTGGGAAAGACCTCAAATGAGAATTGTTTTATAATAAGTCGGTGTAATTTGCATTATAGCAGTATAATAACACATGTTTTATATTCAGCTCTCAGGACAGCTGCTAGCAGCTTATGGCTATGGGGCTCCAGAATTTGAATCAGGAATTTACACCTACCAAAGCGACGTGTACAGCTTTGGAGTCGTTATGTTAGAACTTTTGACAGGCCGTCCGTCCTATGACAGGTGAGACACTAACAAAAATACTTTTAACATCTATTTTTGGTTTTTCTATGGACTTTAATTCACGTATTGCATACATCTTGGACAGGACACGTCCTCGAGGTGAGCAATTTCTTGTAAGATGGGCAATTCCTCAACTTCATGATATTGATGCATTATCAAGGATGGTTGATCCTTCTCTAAATAAAGCTTACCCAGCCAAATCGCTGTCAAATTTCGCAGACATTATTTCTAGATGTGTTCAGGTAAGCTACTCAGTCTAAAGATCAACATTTCCTTCTGTAGGAGAACACTGCATTTACAGTTCTACACCCAGTAAACAATCTCGGTGATTAATTTGAGATCAAACGACTCAAATTACATAATAGCTAAATCAGTTTAAAATGATCTCTATCAATGATTTAAATTGTAAAGTTGAAATTAAAAATTGTGTCACATAATTACAACATAGAATCTGTTTCAGATTAAATTCAGTTTTGTATAGTCTACTGATTTATGTCATGTAACTGATTTCCTCTACTTATATATAATCTAATGCAGGCCGAGCCAGAATTCAGACCAGCAATGTCGGAGGTTGTTTTGTATTTGCTAAATATGATAAGGAGAGAATCTCAACAAAATGAATCAAATGAATGATGAAAATGGTAATGATATTTGGATATATGAATGATGTGCAAGAAGAGTTTATCTGTGATATCAAAGTCTCAACTATTGAAGATATTCATGTCATAACATCATAGGAAGGTTTGTTACTTCCAATGAAATACTAACCATCCAATATTCACATGCCAAGTTCTGCAAGGAGGTTTATCCAATTAGCTTCAGAGAATTTTAGGCACCAGCGCCCCTGTAGTTATTATATTTATATATAATTCAATGTGTGATATCTTTCATGGTTCATTAAACCATGCCATGTTACCCTGGTAACTGATCCATTTGTTTATTTGATAATTGCTCCATATTGTGGATGAGTGAATGTGATTTTTCTTTAGCACATCGTAGTTATTTTATTATGTCCATTCATAGTGATGAAATGAATTTTTGATAATCTTGTACCAATTCATATTCAAGCACTGTGATTTGATTTTGGGCGCATTACTTCTCTAACGAGAAGCACCATATTTTAGGGAATCTGAAAATATCCTTTCAAATTCAGAAGTGCGTAAGCACCCATCAAAATACGTTCTAAGTGGAACAGTCATATTTTTTTCTAAAAACTAGTCTGGACTATGGATACACCCCTTCAATAATTTTGTTTATTTAACAACTCAATGACAACTTCGGAGGAGTAATTTCGGATTTATCAAGCGGAAATTAAAAAAAAAGTCACGTTTGCAGGTCAGTGACATTTTCAAAAGTGTATTTTTGAATTTGTCAAAGCAGACAATTTAATAAAACATCCTCTTAAATGTTTGCTTCACTTATTATCAAAAACACCATTCTTCTTTAAACCCTATCAAAATCTCATTCTACAGTCAATCAATTTTTCTACTTCAAAACATTTCTTTTTTTTTTTTCTTTTTTTTTACATCAAAGAGTAAGCGAAGCTGAAATTTAAGGTAGCCTACATGTATTTCCTTCTTCACAATGTTTATTAATCTGGTTTTTGATTTGAAAAAATGAACATTGCATTCGAAAATACATTTATAGATTTTAGTTGAATATCAGACGAAAGTGTATTTTCGAATCCGTTCAGAGTTCAATTTAGACAGTTTCTTTTTATAAATATTTTTTATTATTATTTGTCTTAGATATGGTACATCCCAATGTTGTCCTCAAATCGAATGTGTCTATGGATGTCAAACCAATTGATATCAATGTAGATGTTGACAACCAATTTATAAATGAACAAAAATTTGTTGTTCATGATCATATACTCCAATGCATCCACACAGAGGCTGCCAAAATTGGGATACTTCGTTGTAATCGGAATGTCAGATAATAGTTCAGATAGAAGACTTGCATTTGTGACACTTAGGCACGAAAGAAGTGGCAAGTACATAATACCTCCAAAAATTGAAGTAAGATGACACCGATTTGAGAGAATGCGAATCCTTTAAAGTTGCATGGATACCTTTTGGTAAATAATAAATGGAGATTTAATATGATTTGTGGTACACATAATCATGACATGGATCGCAAGTTAGTCAATCATCCCATTACATGTTGCCTTATGTCTTAAGAGAATGAAATCGTTTCTAACATGACAATTGTACTGATATAATTTTATTAAGCCTATAAGTAGGGATTGTCCAAAAAAACGAAGGAAGACTAGGCGCAATGGGGAGGGATGAGTTATCCTACGGAGCTAGGGGCCACACAAATGAGTCGTATGGTCTCCTGAAAGGGGTTGCGTGACCACCTGAACTGAGCTCCCGCTGTCCACTCGCCCAATAAACATGGGTGAAGACGTGAATCCACAGTGACCAGGGCCGAGGGCAACCAGACTCACAACCTAGAGCCTAAAAAAATGGTGCCTAAAATTTTTGGGTGGTGGGCTTTAGTAATATGATAGTCTTTTTATATATATTATTTGTTGTAAATAAACTTTATCCTGCAATGTTGTCCCAACGGTTGCACAAGCTTATTTTTCCAGTTGGTCATCTGTTCGATACAGGGGTTAATTACTAAAAAGTTAATTAATTAAAAATTACTTAATTTTTTTTTATTATGGGTCCATTTTTATTATAAGCTATGAGCCTCTTAGAACAAAAAAATTCAAAGTTAATTATTTAATTTTTTATTAGGGGTCCATTTTTATTATTAGCTACGAGTCTCTAAAAAGTCAGGACCGCTCCTAACAATGACTAACTAATAAAGGGTTAGTCAAAAGGAGAAAATTGATCTCCTAACAATCCAAGGAGACCAAGTCCTCGCATGACCACATTTCTTGGTCATGAAGCTAGGGTAAACCATCACGTGAGATCTTGTGATACTTGGTGTAAGCAGATGAATGTTGTTTTCTGCGACCAAGAAGTTTGAGATCTTGTGAAGAATAGGGTAACACCAATTGACAAGAATTCCACGGATGAACAAAAGGTTGCACATAAAAAATTTGTTGCTCTTTTTGGATTGATTGCGTTAGGCAAAACAACATATGTACAAGATGTATTTTAGACAACATGTGGAACAAGATGTTCCAGCATCTGAGGTTGTTGCTAAGCATAATTGTGAAAAGTTGTTTAGCTAAAGTGCTTGACAGAACTATTTAAGCAATAGCTGTTTGACTAAAGTGCTTGGCAGAACTAGTTAAACAATATGCTTAAAGTTTGTGTTTTTCTATCTTCTGATGTCCTTCAGAAGCGTTGTGATGCTGACTTCTTGAACTGATCTATGGGCTTTCTTTTGTGAAGAAGTATGTTTTGTTTATCCAAAGATGTTTGGATTTGATTCCATCAAAGAAGAGTCGTTTTGGACGCTCTAGTGTAACATATGGAACACAATTTTCCAACATGTTCGTTGCAACATCTGATCTTTATCAACAAGACAAATGTTATTGTATGCTGCAACATTTGCCAACTATTGTAGTTGTAGTTTAATATTTGTCTATCCAAGATTCACTCTATATCAGAAGATATGCAAGTTCTGGAGAAGAATGAAATTGGTTGTACTGTTTCAACATGTGGAACACGATGTTCCAACATGTGTAGTGCAACATCTGACCCTAGTTGAGGAGCCCAATATTGTTGCATTTTTGGAGCGAAAATCTAGTTCATATTCGATCATATTTGTTGTTGTATTTGTGCAATTCATTTCTGTGATTTGTTTGGCAGTTGTTGAAGATCAAATCAATTTAATGTATATTTAAATTTGAATCTGAATTAATAAAAAATTATATCTTTTGTTGGGGAACTTTATAGAGCAAATCAAATCCAACAAGATTCAACTATTATTCTGGAAGAAATTAAATCAGAAATATAAGAAGAAAAACCTAAGATTGCATTGCTATTTAAGGAGACTCAAACCTCACTTTTGAGGTGTGCAAGTTTTAAAGATACCTAGTGTTATAGTTTATCTTTTGAGTCATTGTATGTACACCACTATAGCACCTCCTTTCATATCATAAGGCATACAATTTGGCTTTTATTGAGTTGTAAACTATGTTCCAAGATGTTAATTCCATAAGCTTAAAAACATAGTGTTTCTTGTATTCTATGCTAATGCCATAACCAGATTAAAGTTGAATCTTTGTGTACACCTCTATGTTTCAGTAACTTGGCATAAAAGGTTTATCCTAGTTGAGTTGTAATATTCAACATTGTTAATTGAGTTATAAACACGAATCACAGGTTTTATGATTGAGAAGAAAGTGAGTAGGTTCTCATATTTAGAAGGAATCCTTAAATAGAAAGACACTATGATTAAGAAGAGGCTTTGAACAACATAGAATTTGTTGGTTCTTGTAAGAATAAGGGTACTAATTCAAAGTAGTGAATTTCCTTTATTGGGTAGAGTTCCCCCAGACGTAGATGTGGTTTCACCGAACTGGATTACCAATCTCTTATGTTCTTTATTGCTTTTCTGCTTCATCATCTTGTAAAAGTTAATATGTCATATCTTGCTTGAAAACTGACTTTTATTTCTGGTTTACAATGTCCTAGACATCTTGTATGATATTTGTTCCCATAATTTGTAATCTGTCATAAACTAGTAGTTCCTATTATCCCAGGCATCTAGTCCAACCTCTATCTCCTCTGGAACAAAAATTTCAGATTTGAAGAAGAAAGATTATAAAACTTTCTTTATAATCTATCAATGCATTGATACATATAACTTTGAAAAGATTGGTCATGTAGACTCATGAAGGAAGTATGGGACATCCTAGACAAATCTTTTGGAGGTGCTGAGAAGGTGAAAAAGATGAGGTTACAAACTCACAAAAGAATGTATGAATTTCTTGAGATGGAAGAAAACAAAAGTGTGAGGGAAAACTGTCTCACAACATACGTTCTCAAGTTTCGATGATGACAAAGTACAACCTCGGATGAATCAGAATCGTCATGCAATACTTAACATATTACATCCTTCCTATATCCTTTTAAATCATCATATTTCATTGGCAATATATGTGACTAATGTTTGGTCGTGACAAGATGCACGAAACAACAAACATATCAATTTTTGCAGGTTTTGTAGCTATGAGTCAACCATACCACTCAGCGCATGAAGCTGTGTATTCCCCACGGGTCAGCGCATGGAACCATGCGTCGACCGTTAACTTGGCGCATGCAGGTTTAAGAATCAGACGGCTCAGCACATGAAGATCATGCGTCGACCGCTGACTCGGCGCATGACAGTTTGAGTGTCACACGGCTCAGCGCACGCCGACCCTATGGTCGACCGTTCGCGCGCAGAAACAGAAATTCTGCTATGTTTCTTTGATCTGTCATCTGTCTGTTTTGTATTTCTATAAATAGCTGTCTTTTCAATTTCAACAATAAAAACATTTTTTCATAGAACATTTTTCAATAACATTTTTGAAAGCATTGTGAGAAAGTGTTCAGGTCAAGAAACGTGAAAGAGGTGCATCAGTGTTCTTCATCTTCATCGTTCAATCAACTCACAAATCCTCAAATTACAGATAATCAATTTTTTGCTGCGGTTTGTGGTTTGCTCGACGGTGATAAGGTTCGAAC